CAGCGCCCGGAGAACGTCGAAGTGCTGCAGGAGTAGCTGCTGCGCCTCCTGCGAGCTCGACCACTCGTGCCATCAACCAGAACCTTCAGCGGCCTGTGTAAGATCGTCAGCGTCTGTAGTCGCCGTAAAAGCACTTTCGCTTGTGAGTGTTGCTTCGGGAACGGTTTCAAGGTTTGGTTGGAATCTTGATGATCCCAAGGTTTGATATGAACCTTCCGGGTACATTTGAGAATCTTCGATCTCAAAGTGTACCTTTGTTGCTGTTGAGGACTTCTTGATGGATCCTCAGTGGTTTGTTTATATCCCACAAGATTTACTTCGTAAATCTCTGTGTGGTTAGAGCCCAATACGCTATAATTCGTTTGTTTGAATTCGTTTCCACACTTACGTGTGAAGTCTAACGCACTCCGTGAACTTTGGCTCAAGCCGAGTGAAAAAGACTTGCAGCTGTCCGCTGTGCCCGTAGAGACGTGTCTCCGAGGGAAAAGGTTTTCACGTGGTAGCGGAACTTGTGCCTTGGAAGACAAGTCCGTTTTGGTGTCCAGAGGAACAGAACGCTGTGTGTTTGTGAAGGAGGATGTTGAATACACTTCAAGGGAGTTCTAACTTGCGAAGTCGGGAGGATAGAACTCGTGGGTCTTCGGTACCTGCAGCTGTGGGAGTGGACCGTTAAGGACGGGAAGAGATAGAAGTCCACCCGCTCCGTTGGTGTATGGTCCGGTTCCGCGGGGTAGGAACCCGGCTTCTAGAAGCCCGCCGGATGACCCAACACGACCTAGCTTTGTTCCGTTTGGACAGCCGAGTGTGCCTCTCAGGACACCAGTAGTTCCACCTTTGCCTGCTGCTGCCAGTAGCAGTGTGTTGCCACCACCTCCTGCGGCTGCGTTTCCGAGTGCCCAGTTGGGAGCACAGGTCCAAGGTTTGGAGCAAATGATGCAACAGATGGTGCTGCAACAGCAGACCTTTATGCAGACGGTGACTGCTTCGTTTCAGCAGCAACAGCAGTCGATGCTGCAGCAGTCACAGACGTTTATGCAGACCATGGAAACATCTATGCAGCAGCAACTGCAACAGTTGAGGCAGCAAGTTGCGAGTTCAGCGCCTGTACCACCTACAGCGCCTGGATCTCCGGTTTTGGAGTCCTATCGGATAAGTACTCCGAGTCCGGGTAGGTCTCCGCCACCCCCACCACCAAGAGATGTTCAGGATGCGGAGAGAGATGTCTTCGCTAAATCCGACAAATGGCTGCCTAGTTTGCCTGTCATTGACTTTACGTCATGGAAGGATAGGATCTTCCGAAGCTTTAGGCTTCCTCACCTGGATGGAGAAGCTGACCAGTTGGGTCGGTTTGGGTTCTGAGGTGTTCCCAAACGAGCTCATGCATGCTGTTCGAACAAAGGATGAAGGTGTCCTTGGTCAGGATAGGTTGACTGTTGAGCAGCAGAAGAGATCAATTAGGTTGTTGCACATTCTGCGGCAGACCTTTGCAGGCCATGATAAGAGTTCTTTGATTCTGCAGAACTATGTGGAAGGAGCGGCTTCGTATCAGCAATCGGGATTCGTGGCTCTGAGATTATTGGCGAAGGAGTTTTGCCTGAAATCTCGGTCTGAGTGTCTCTACTTCAGAGCACAGTTGGTCAATCAGACGGTGAAAGCGCCAACTATCCCAGAAATTGTGAGAAAGATTGAATCTGAGCAACATAAGTATTCGAAGCTGTTGAGCAGTTTGGATTCGGATGTGCATGCGCAAGGACTCGATTTGCAAGAAGCAGATTTGGTCATGGTGTTGCTTAGAAGTTTGCCCGAGAGGTGTCGAAGCTACTGCTTGCTTCATGGTGATAGTGATTCGTTTGAGGATCTCAAGCGGGTTGCTTTGAAGTATGAGGTGCAACAGCGAGTTTGGTCTGAAGGACCTGGTACAAAGCTGAATCCGTTCAAAGGTGATGAGAAAGGAAAAGGTGGTGACGAAAAGGGAACTCCTAAAGGAAAAGGTGGCAAGAAAGGAAAAAGAGGCCGGAGCCAGAGTGCGTCCAGGGGTGGAGCTAAAGGAAACAAGGATGTGGAGTGTTGGAACTGTGGAAAGAAGGGACATTATTCCGCAGATTGCTGGGCTCCACCAAAGAAGGATCAAGGCAAGAGAATGCAAAGAATGATGGAAAGCCCTCGCCGAAAGGTAAGGCAAAGGCAAAGGCCAAGGGTGGAAAAGATAAAGGCAAAGGAAAAGGCAAGACAGTTGCTGAAGTGGCGCCTGACGAAGGCGAAGGTGTTGATCTTGCTGGAGATCAAGGATGGACTGAGCCAGAGTCTGAGGCTCATGTGAGCTCGGTGATGCGGCAACTCAACGAGATCGTTGACGAGGTTCGACGGGATTGGATTCCGCCGGCCCAGGATGAGTTTGTTATGACCCGAGAGGCAAGTGTCAAAGTTCGGATGGCCGAATTGGAGCATAGGATCGCGAGTGATCTCGGTGAGATGCTGGGGAAGGATCTGCCAGGATCGGTGAACTTACTGAGAGGACCTCAGGTGAATGGAGTGAGTAGCCTGAACAACGATCAAATGGCCAACTGGTGGCTCATTGATTCTGGTGCTTCGGTGACAGTGATTGCCAAGAAGTTTCTCGATGACTTCACGGTGATGTCGAGGATGCCTTTGTGCCCAAGCGAGAGGTATTCAGCGGCAAATGAACGCCTGTCACGGTGTTTGAAAGGGTGAGAGTGAAAGTAAAAATGCCTCTGTATGAAGGGGATTCGTATATTGGAATGGTCCCTGTGATGGTGACTGGAGTTGTAGCTGACGTTGGTCACAACATCTTGAGCACTGAGCACATGGTTGCTACCGGCTGGGAAGTGAAGTTTTCGAAGGCGGAGATTTCGCTTCGTCGGGTGAAAGGAGGATTGGTTGGATATGGACAGTCCTGGGCTGGATGCCCATGGATTTATCTGCAAGGTGCAGACACGTCAACCAAGAAAGTGACCTTTGGAAGGACACATGTTAAGATGGATGTCGACCAAGAGGATTCGTCAAGTCCCATGGAAGTTGGGAACGTGTCGGCTATGACGGTGAAGATGAAAGAGGAACTCGAAGTTCATCGGATGCGAGGACATATCCCTTTCATGCCTGGGTGTCCCCATTGTCAAAAGACAAGAGGTGTGACGCAACATCGGAGAGGCAAAGATGTGAGTAATCGCCCTGTGGAGCTGCAAGCAGACTTTTGTTACATCAACTTGGTTATATACTGGTACCTTTGTCAAGGACCAGCCCAACGCACCCAACATGAAGATTTTGGTGATGACTGAGATGTCTACCAGAATGGTTGGTTGTGCACTTGTCGGGACAAGTGCGGATCACACATCGACTTGGATTCGGTACTGGATGAATGCTTTTGGGTTGACTACTGCCGGATCTGCGGTGTTACTTCGGACTGATAGTGAAACAGCTGTCAGCGCGTTGATTCGCCGGGCGAATCTTGGGATTCGGGTTGTGACTCAGAAAGCGCCACCGCAAGGACATGAATCTGTTGGTGGAGTTGAAAGAGCAGTTCGGACTTTGAAAGAGCTGTTCAGCACGATCAGGCTTGACCTGAGAGCCCAAGGGTATGATCTGAAGCGCAGTCCACGTGCGTTTGAACTAGGTTTGGTCTACTGTGCTGCCATGCACAATCATCATTCGGCTGCGTTTGATGGAAAGAAGTCTCCTCAGGAGTTGGTTTTGCAGAGACCACTGGCGGAGTGTGCATCCACGTTGATCGGGATGACGGTACTTGCGGAATTACCGGATAGTATGAAGAAGACTTCTTTGTCGAGATTCGTGGAAGCAGCTTACTTGTATCCAGAAGTTGGTGGCTTGACCCATGTGGTGAGTTCTATGGTGAATGGGACGCCACATCACTATCGGGCGAAGTCGATAAAGCATATCACTCCTCTGAAGGTTGGAATGGAGCATTGTGGACATTTGCTCAAGGCCTATGATCCTAGCGATACATTGGCACCTCCCATCTTGAAAGAGTTGGATGATGGGATACCTTCTGAAGTTGAGGGTGAAGTCGACAAAGCATTTGAAGGAAAGGTGTCACAAGGACCTACCACAGACATGAGTCAGGTAGGACCACCTGCGGCATGGGTACGAGAGCATGGAGGAACACCTGGATGTCCAGCGTGTGGTGAGAAGCGTGGAAAAGCCAATCACAATGCTGCCTGCAAACGGAGGTATGATAAGTGGTTGAAGGACCAACGTGAGAGGTTGGTTGTTGAAGGGGAACAAAAGACGGTTGGAGGTGAACCTGGATCTAGATCAGGATCGACCGCGGCTCCGAAGGTTTCTTCAGAAGCGAGAAGCTCTGAGGATGCGGGGGTGCCTCTTGTCAGTGCACCTTCGTTGAAGCGTCCAAAGACCAGTCATGAGACTACCGGCCTGGAAGGCGAAGAGCCCTCAGCGGCGTCCAAGCCAGATGTGATTGATGTGGAGATGTTTGAGGATCCAAGTATTCCTTATGAAAACATTCCAGATGAGGAGATGCCTCCGGGATACTTTGAAGATGAACAGCCTATGGAGATTGATAAGGGAGTAGCTGAAGAGGCTGCGGCAATGAACGTCGAGTCTGAAAGCTCCCCAAGCGAGCCTAGTAGGGTTCCAAGGCTGTTGCAGTCGCTTCATCCAAGATTGGATGCCCCAGAAGGTTTTACCAGTGCTTTTGAGGAAGCAAGTGCGCCGAAGTTAGCCAAAGTGGTGAATGCTGTTCTGATTGAAAAGAACACTGTGTATCCCGAGCAAGTACAGATGTGTGGATCGAAAGTTTGGTTGACCAAGATGAAGAGTGCGTTGTCTGAGCTGGATGGGTGTCCATTGGACGTATCGTCAGCTATGGAGGGTCGACGTACTGAACTTGGTAGCATGGATTCACATAAGGCGGGAAGGATTGTGTCTGCTGATGAGGCACATGCGTTTGCCAAGAAGCATGGGATAAGGATCATCCCTACACGATGGGTACTTGGACCCAAGGTTGTGAACGGGAAAGAGGCAGTGCGCGCCCGGTGTGTGGTACAAGATGTGGCTAAGGGTAGTACGGCTTCATCGCTAGGTCTGAGTGCGACCACGCCGTCGTTGGAAGCTTTGCGAACTCTCTTGGCCATTGCTGCCAAAGATTCGATGGATATTGCTACCCTGGATGTCTCGACTGCATTCAGTGATTATGTTGCCGCGGGATGTGAGTTCAAGACCTGACTATTACGCCCCGGTGTATATGATTCTTGATCAGGCGATGAACGGATTGAGAGTAGCCGCCAAGGCATGGAACTTGAAGTTGGCGAATGTTGTGAAGAAGGTTGGGTTGAACCAGTGCCCTACGGAACCTTCGGTGTTTGAAGGAACTGTAAAAGGAAAACGGTTTCTTATGCTGTGCTATGTGGATGACCTGATCTTGTGTGGAAGCTCAGAAGCCATTAAGTTGGTCACGGATACTTTGAATCGTGAGCTCAAGATCAAGGAAACGGGTCGCATCACTCCGACTGGAGGAAGAATTGTCTTCTTGGGAAGAGAGATTGAGAGGAATGGTGAGCATCTACGGATGAGAGTTCCACCGAAGTACATGGAAAGTTTGTTTGAGACAGATTTTTGCAAGGACCTGAAGGTGGTGAGTAGTCCTCCGGATCTTGTGAAGATCATTGAGAAGGGTCGCGCTGATCCTGAAAAGGATAGCGTGTTGTCGGAGGCTGCTGCGATGCGCTATCGAGCGGTTCTTGGAAGGATTGCTTGGTGGGGCCAGTCTCGTCCAGACTTGGCTCGTTGGATGTCGATTCTTTCCCAAGGTCAGTCGAAGCCTACGGCGTGTTTTGAGCATGCTTTGAGGCAAGTGATTCGTTTCTTGAAAGGCCAGTATCTGTGTTGGTCTTACTTTGGTCCTGGGGGTGAGGTCCCAGACGGAGGATCTGCCACGCTTGATGTGTATGCGGATGCGAGTTGGGCACCGCAAGCGTCTCTGGGAAGGAGATCAGTGTCAGGAATCGCCATCCTTTACCGTGGTTGTTTGATCAAAGGAATCTCGAGGGTTCAAGGGTGTGTATCCCTTAGCTCTTGTGAGGCTGAACTTAGAGCGATTTTAACCGCTGTTCAGGAAAGTGAAGGACTGGCAACGCTGATTGGACAATTGGCTGGGTCCAAAGTCGAGATTAGGTTGCATACTGATAGTTCGTCGGCACGGGCTGTGTTGCTGAATCGGGGTTTGAGTCGACGAGTTCGACACTTGGACATTGCTGTATGTTATCTTCAAGAGAGGATCCAAGAGGCACAAACCCTCAAGGTCCTTTGGTGTCCTACGTCAGCTATGGTGGCTGATATCATGACGAAGTGTTTGAGTTGGGAGATTTTCTTGAGACACCAACAAGCTTTAGGGATTTTTGAAGATGAAAATGTGCAGCAAGTTTGGAGGATTTGCGGAATTCGGTTCTCTCGCAGCGACTCTGGTTCAAGCGCCACGCAAGCTAGCACATCTGTGGAAGTCGTACCTTTGTTGAAGGACGACATGACGGATTCAAAGGCGGATACCCTGAAGGGATCCGTGGAGGCACCATACTGGTGCAAGCAATGCAAATGGCTGTTTAAGACAGACCATTCCCATGGACTGGGATGGACGGATGAGTACAAGCCCAGGTGTGAGAAGTGCCAGGGCGTGATAAGTGTTTGGGGATCCAATGCCTCCCACGCCTTTCATCTCCGAGAGGGAGAGAAAGAGAAGCGGTTTCCGAAAGGCGGCAAAGGGGAAGGCAAGTCCTCCCAGTGGGTGCAAGGCGATGGTGGAAAAGGTGATGGCACCAATCTGGGTGAAAGCTCGATGGCGAAAGCTACGCCAAAGCCTGAAGGGCCACCGAGTGTGGCAACTATGTTTCCAGAGCTTAATGGGAGTGAGGTGCCAGCATGGTACACTGAGCTCTGGGGGAAGATGGGCATCCGAGGAGCCCCTCTTGATCAGGTGGATCTCCAACCTTTGGTGGAATCCTTGCCGGCTGAGGATCAGGAGTGGTATAAGAAGAGCTTTGAGAAGCTCAGCCACCCGAACTTTGCTGTGTTTGAGCATGGGGATCCGATGCCGGGCAAAGTGGTGACAGTCCTGGATATGAGATCGCAGTATGGTGGCAAGTCTGTCATCTGGGAGACAACTGTGAATGGAGGTTGCATCTACGTTGAAATGGGCCCGGGGTTGAGTGGTTTGGCAGTGCTCATGTTTGTGCAGTACCTGAAGAGGAAGGGGTTCTTGGTGCTTATCCTTTTGAGTGGGGATCAGGACCCAGGGATCTTGCGGATGATGGATCTGCTTTACACACTTCCCATCCTGGGAGTGGAGAGATGCACAAAGGGTGATCTGGAGACCACCTCCCATCCTCCCTGGGTGTGCCGATGGAAAGAGCATGCTCAGAATGGCAACGTGGTGTTCAAGGCTGTGCTTTCCAAGGTGTGTTGGATGTCTGATTTGACATGCCAGACACTCAAGGCTTTCGACTCTAAGGTGAAGGACCTCGGGAAGCCGTTGCCTCTGTGGGCCTACTTTGCGTACACCAACAATGATGTGGTGCAGGAAAGTTTGATTGTGGAATGCGATCACATGGCTGTGAAGGTTCCCAATGGGGTGCTTGAGAGCATCCGTGAGCCTATGATCTGGCAGTGTGACTGCGCGTGGCATATGGCCACGGACTACACAAGCAGGTTCACTACGAACCTCCCGTGCATCCTGTGGGAGCACATCTGGAAGTTTTTGGGTGGGAACACTCAGAAGCTGATGGATGTTGAGCTCGGTTTGGAACAGGCTGTGTTAGCAGCCGTGGCTTTGCATGACCTCGAGGTGGAAACTGAGAACAAGAGGAAGAGGCGTGCGGAGTTGGATGCAGCTGAGGAGGAAGCGGCTAAGAAGGCCAGAACGGAGCAACCAGCTCCAAACTCACCTGCACCTCCGGTGCTTGATGGAGCTATGATCGCGCAGATCGCTGCAATGGTAACAGCGAGTCTGAGTGTTGGTGACTTGGAGAAGCTGCTGGATGAGAAGAGAAGGGCATCTGCTTCTGGCAGTGCTCAGGGATCTGAGCATAGCGGTGCTCAGCAGGACCAGCAGATGGGCCAACGGGTTGCTGAGTTGGATCAGATGAGGGATGCGGCACAGGAGCGCCGATCCCAGCTGGTTGAGAAAGCCTCTGAGAAGGCTGATGAGGCGAAGGATGCAGCTGATCTGAAGTGAGGTGCAAATGGACCTCGGTTGGATGTAGCTGCCTGTAGGGTAGAAGCGCCATGGCCTTCGCCGCCATGGCCACGCCTCTTTGTTTCGCGAGCCCTTTTTGCAATCAGTGCATGTGTTTTCTGGAGCAGTCGCTACGCGACAAGTTTTCTGCAGAAGCTACTTTACTCCACTGGTGACTTTGGTGAAGAGTGGAAGCTGCTCGGACAGTTCTCAGAGTCCACTTCGGACTACGTTTGGGAGTCAGGACGCTGGGCGCTTTTCTGCAAGGGCCTGACACAGTGAGCTGGAGAGGTCGTCTTGAAGAGGAACTGAGCGTTTCTGAACGGCCTTAGCTCTTTAATTAGTTTGGTACGTGTTTGTCACTACGAACTCTTGGTCCCTTTGTAGGTCCGAGACCCTCCTGTACGAACGGTGCAGGTGTGCAAGAATCTTCGATCAAAGATCGCCTCTGTGTGTCTGTGTTGTTGTGAGCGGCGAGTACGCACCAAGGGAATGTGGCCTGGGCATCCCCCTAGTGCTGAAGTGCCACTGCCGGTGCTTTGTCGTTTCTGCAAAGATCTTTGAGGAAGCCCTCAGCAAAATGCGGGGGGTGTAAGATCGTCAGCGTCTGTAGTCGCTTGTAAAAGCACTTTCGCTTGTGAGTGTTTTGCTTCGGGAACGGTTTCAAGGTTTGGTTGGGAATCTTGATGATCCCAAGGTTTGATATGAAACCTTCCGGGTACATTTGAGAATCTTCGATCTCAAAGTGTACCTTAGTTGCTGTTGAGGACTCCTTGATGGATCCTCAGTGGTATGTTTATATCCCACAAGATTTACTTCGTAAATCTCTGTGTGGTTAGAGCCCAATACGCTATAATTCGTTTGTTTGAATTCGTTTCCACACTTACGTGTGAAGTCTAACGCACTCCGTGAACTTTGGCTCAAGCCGAGTGAAAAAGACTTGCAGCTGTCCGCTGTGCCCGTAGGGACGTGTCTCCGAGGGAAAAGGTCTAGGAGGGACCTTAAGTTTTTCACGCGGCCAGCCGCAGAGCTGCAGACGCTCTGCCTCAGTGCGGCAGAAGACGTCCCTGGAGTGCGACCATTGGAGTCTCGGTTCTGCCGACAGGTCTTCGAAGACGTCCTATCCCAGCGGCTGCCGCCCTTGGTGTGCAAGCTGGCCAAGAGCGACTCTGACAAGATCTACGCGTGGACGTCGTAAGGCCAACGTCCCGGTCTATTATCCGCTGGACTCCATCAAGCGGACCCGTGAGAGCGAGCTGGTCGATCTGACCCACTTGCGGATCGGCGCGGACGCTCGCTCGGCGCTGCTTTCGAGGCTTCCCCACTGGCTCGGGCTGGTACGCGAAGCCGGCGGTCGCCCACATGCTGGAGACGGAACAGACCGCCTGGGCGGACCTGAAATCCACGGCGCACGCACGTGCAGCAAGACTACCTGAGGAGGCCTGGTCCGAGGGCAAGCTCTCCGTGAACGCTTTCATCGGACTCTTCGCCCGCAACCAGGACATCGTCTACTCCATGCGCACCTCGAACTAGCCCTTTCGTATAGTACCGCTGAAACTTCCTGGACGCCGACGGGTGCTTCTACTGGGACTTCGTCCACGCCACGGACTCCACACCAACCGCTTCCTCCGCCCCGCTTGCGACTTCGTCATAGCTGCGAAGTGCGTGGCCGTGGCAAGGATTGGCAGGCGCTGCACGAGGTGCCAGCGCGGCAGAACCCAATTCAGAACCCATTCAGAACCCAATTTAGAACCCATTTCGGCACCCATTTGGACACCCATTTGGGCACCCATTTCGGCATCCATTTTCGGCACTTCAGCACCCCGCGCGCAAAGTCTCTACAGCACTGCCGCAGCTCCACATAGGGGAACCTGTTGGAGAACCTGTTGAGAAACTCCGCGCAGCTCGAGCGAAGTCTCGCTCCGCGCTGGTGGTCCGACGTAGAGGTGCTTCACTGAGAGCCACATCCGCCCCCGAAGCGTCAAGAGCCGCGTGTGCCGGCGCGAAAGTCTGGCCGTCGCTGAGCACGATGCGCTCGCCCACCTCCGACACCCTCACGAAGTAGCCCTTGGCCACCTTGCCTCCCGAGCCGACGAGTCTCAGCGAGCCAGATCCGCATCGTTCGTCCCCGCCGCGCCCACGCAGCGGTGCTCGATGAGCAGAGTCTCTAGCGGCGCCAGCCTCCTGTTCTCCCGCTCGTTGATGGCGATGCGCTGGGCGTGCGAGATGACTCGACAGGTTTTCGGCGCGTCTCGCCGGAGGAACTGCTCGCATGCCACCCGCAGAGCGTCCCGCAGGTGCGATCTCGTCCGCGCAGACACTGCAGAAAGCGGAGGATGAAGTCGTCGCTGCGCTGGTTCTCCATGATCATACACGAAGCTGCCAGCCAGGTTGTGCAGCATCTGCGAGTTCTTCAGCTCCTGCAGCACCGAGGCGCCCCCTTAAAAGCGTTCTGCACGGCCGGCAGCTGCCTGAAGTCGCCCAGCAGCAGGAAGCGCACTTGCCGGTTCGTCGACAGCTCTGCTACGTCTGCCAGCTCGGTATCTCCTCGATAGTAGTCGGCCGTCTGAGCTTCCAGGTCCATGTTCTGCACTGAGCAGTGCGTCTTACTGACGATGGTGACTACGTCTCCGAGCTCGCAGAGCTGCCCGAGGATGCAGCGGGCCAGATGGATCTTTCTGGAACAAGGAGGAGATCCTGGCGCGGCAGCAGCACGCTTGCGCTCTGTACGGTCGAAACGATACACCGGCGTGCCGTCGGAGTGCTTCTCCCTCTCGAGGCGCTGCACCTTGGGCAGAAACTTCCTCGACAGGCTCTAAATAGCCACGCAGTCCGTCTTCAGCGCGCACCTACATGAATCCGACATCGACACGCTACAGTATCGCTTCTATCGTCTCAAAGGATTGTATGACGAGGGTCAGTACCAATTGCTGTACCTCCTGCGGGAATCTCATTTCCCGAGCGGTGGTAATGACATACAGCGTCTGCTCGATCAATGGCCCAAGCGAGATTCTTTTGCGCCGCTTGATGCTGCGGGCATGCGGGTCGGCAAAGGTCTAACACAGCAAAGGGATCGGTGATATCGAAAAAGGTGATAGAAATACGTGGACTTCTGGGACCGGCCATGTCTGGCCCTTGCAAATGCAGTTGAGCTCTGTGGCGGCTGGCTTTAAGGGGCTTTAAAGGGGCTTTAAGGGGGTGAGCAAAGGGGTGAGCCGATACACCCACAAGGAAATGCTCCTTGTTAGGAGGTGTATGACCAGTTTATTCCCTAAGGATCCAAGGGCAGCGCCCTGCACACGGACAGTAGTTGTTTTGTCTTGCTACGCAAGGAGAGCTTGTCTTGTCTCAATATGGTAAAACCACTGTGAGCCAATGGGCAGCGGAATGTATATGTATGAGCATGCAGCCATTGCTGTAGGTACCTGTTAGAGCTACCCCTTTAGAGGTTTACGCAAACAAACAGACACTAATTTTCTTTTACCGGAAGCATGGCCGCACATTCACACATATACTATTATGCCCACTGTCACAGTTGCGGAGTTTGGACTCATGATAAAAACAGCATATTGTTTATGCTAGGTATAGCACTGAAGTACACTGTTGAAGTCACTCTTGAAATCACTCCTTTTGAACTCTTTCATGCACATTGGTCAGAGAGATCGTCTGTACAGGATCAGGTCTGGTAATGTTCTTCTATCGAATTATGCAGCCCTTCACTGTGCTCTTGTTAGAGCCTTGTGAGTCACTGTTGTGAAACTCTGAGATTTTCCTTATCTCAGATTTGGATCCAGGTTTGGATCATAGGCTCGAGCATAGACGTTCGGATGTGGTTCATCCGGGTCTGAGTGATCTTCTTCGGAACTTGAAAAGATTCCGAGTAATCTGTTCTCAGCCCTGGTGAAGGCGGCGTCTGCAGTGTCATATCCATGGTTGGATGTAGTCGCCTTTGGCTCGGCCTTTGGTGCAGCTTGTGAGCTGATTGGAGTTGCCTCGGCTTTAGCCGGTTGTGGCTGCTTAGCCTTTGCCCGTTCGGCCCTTCTTCTTTCAAGCTGTCCGTCTGAGGACGCCCATGATCTTTCACTTTCATCTCCTGAGGGAGATAAGGCGTGGGCATGAAGGCTGTTCCAGTACTGTGCTGCAGAAGGAGTTAGGACTTCTTCATGGTCAGATTCTGACTGGTCTTCCTCAGAGCTTTGGTCGTCAAAAAGTGTCTCAAGGACATTTTTGAGGTTTTTATGTCTTCGCTCTATCTCTAGTGAGGAATGGACCAATTGATTGAAGACTGTTTTTGAGTCCTTCAGTGCTGTTAGAAGGATTTCCACTCTGGATAGAGTATCTTGGATGGTGTCAAGATGATCCTTTCTTTCCTCCTTGTCTCTCTGGATAGAGTTTCGCAATGATTGTGCGATTCTGAGGAGGTCGAGATATTTCTCAATAGGCATAGTTACCGTATGATTGTCATGTATGACAGTTGTTTCGTCGCTGCTCAAGTTCCTGAATAGGACTTCCACGACTGGTAGAAACTCCGTGCTCCACGGTTCCTCTTCATCATATGTTTCTACGTGCTGTTGCACGCGTTGTGTAAACTGCTCGGCTGCTTCTACCGTTGCATCGATAGAGCTGACGTGTCTTACTGCCATGTTTCGGCACATAGTGTTAATGGCCTGGCCTTGATTGGCTTCGCCAAGTGCAGCGTCTGCATGGTTGCAGAGTCCACTGTTATGGGCTTCTCTAGCTGCTTTTCGTTGAATGCGCCGATTTTGACCTCCTCTTCTGGTAGGACCTTTTGGTCTCGGAGGATCTGAAGGTACTGTTCCTTTCGCCTTTGGCGGAGGAGTCTTAGGTGGAGGTGACATGTTTGCCTTGTTAGGCACTGGTGGCATTGCCTTGGGCACTGACGACGATGAGGCACTTGCGAGTGCAGATGTACCTCTGGCTCTTGCCGAGGATCCCTTAGGGATTGATGTATAGGTAATCTGCATGGCTTCTTCGGCCAT